AAAAATGAGAAAATAAAAGATTTTATTTTACCTTCATGTATTCTTTCTCCCATACTCTTCTTTAAAGAGATCTGATTTTCTGACCTATATCATTTTCCTTCTCTCTGGAAAACCTTTTTTTGAAAAATAAATATTTCTCATAAGGTAGATTTACTGCTGACAAATTCCCTCAGTTTTTGTTTGTCTGACAAAGTCTTTATTTTTTGTTCACTTCTGAAGGACTGTTTTGCTGGATACAGATTTCTAGGTGAGTGGTTTTTTTCTTTCAATACTTTACACTCTTCTCTTCTTGCTTGTATGGTTTCTGATGAGAAATTCAATGTAATTCTTATTGTTCCTCTATAGGTAAAGTGTTTTCTCTGGGTGTTTTCAAGATTTTCTCTGTCTCAGTTTTCTGTGTTTGAACATGATATGCTTAGGTGTATTTTGGGGGTATTTATCCTGGTTGGTATTGTCTTTCTAGATCCTGGATCTGTGGTCTGGTGTCTGTCATTAATCTTGGAAAATTCTCATTCATTCCTACTTCAACTATTTCTTCTGTTCCTTTTCTTTATTCTCCTTCTGGTATTCCAATGGCATGTATGTTAGAGCATTTGAAATTGTCTCATAGTTCTTGGATATTATTTTCCATTTTTTTACAGTCATTTTTCTCTTTGCATTTCAGTCTGGGAAGTTTTCATTGACATGTCTTCAAGCATACTGATTCTTTCCTTGGCCACTCCCAGTTTGCCGATGAGTGTATCAAAAGCATTTCTTTTTAGTGTTTCTGATTTCTTGTATCTCCTTCTGATTCTGAGTTTCTATCTATCTGCTTACATTACCCATCTGTTCTTGCATATTGTATATTTTCTCTAATAGATTCTTTAGCAAATTAATCATAATTATTTTAAATTCCATATAGCTGGTAATTCCAAAACCTATATAACTTGAGTTTGGTTCTGATGCTTCCTTTGTCTCTTCAGAGTGTGGTTTTTCTTTTAGCATGCCTTGTGATTTTTTTTTTTTTTTGAAAGCTGGACATGATGTATAAGTTAAGAGGAACTAAGGTAAACAGGGCATTAGTATAAGGTTTTATGTTAATCTGGCCAGGAGTTGGCTGTGTTTAGTGTTTACTCTAGCTGTAGGTGTCAGAGGTTTCAATTTCTTCTAATGTCCTTGTTTTTTCTCCCCTGTTTTTTTAGGTTTCCCTAAAAACTCCATAAATAGAGCCTGAGCCTTGCAAGTCTTCCAGCTGTAATCCATAGTTATTGTATCAAAGCCCTATTGATGTGGTGGGAAAGTGTGGGGCAAGGGAAACATTCTGTAATCTCATAATTAAGTCTCAAGTCTTTTAGTGTGCCTGTGTCCTCAGCCTATAACCTTCACAAGTGTTTCACAGCTTTCTTATTTTATCTCTTTCTCTCTTAGATGAGATAGGAAGGCTAGAGTCATCTGGAGTTGGATAATTTCCCTTCTAGCAAGCTGGAGAAGGATTTGGTAAAGTTGTTTCACTGGCTGGGTGTCCCTTTGTTAGGTAGACGCTCTGTATATATTTCAAAATGATTACTTTTCCCTTCTCCATGCCAGGAACAGGAGATTGTTTCTTGGCCCTTCCCCTTGAGAACCTAGTGGAATTCCTGGAGTTAAAAGTAATGTAAATGTGAGGACCCTCATAGACTGAGGCCCCTAGAGTTTGTCAAACAATCTACACTCTGCTTCCAGAAATTTGTCAAGGTTACCACTTGTCCCTACCAGTTCATGGCTCCAGTGTTTTTTGTTCCTGATAAGCAGATCTGGGCTGTGATTCTCTGTAATCGCCTGTCTCTCCAGATTTTGGGGTTGCAGTTTACTTTGTGACTTCAGTTCTCTGATGGGTCCAAGAAAAGTCATTGCTGTTTCCTTTGTTCAGCTGTTTATCTTGTTATAAGACAAGAGTGACAACTTCCAGGCACTTTACATGATGGAGCTGAAAACAAGTAGCTTCTTTCATTCAATATTGTTTGTGAATTTCATGCATGTTGATACCTGTAGTTCTATTTTATTCATTTTCTATACTGTACAGTGTTCTCTTTTATGAATATACCATGCTTTATCCATTCTCCTGCTAATGAACAAGTGTGTTGTTTATAAACAATGCTACAGGGAGTATCTTTATAATCTCCTAATGTGCATGTGTAAGAGTTCCTCTAGGATAGATGCCTAAGAGTGGGACTGTTGACTTTTAGTGTATGAGCATCTTCTATTTTACTAGGAATTGCCACAATGTTCATAAAAGTGATTGTCTTCATTTATATTCATCCAGCAACACGTTAGAATTCTTACTACTCTGTATGTTCACCAATACTTGGCAGTGTCAGGCCTTTAAAGGTATGCCAACTTCCTGGGTATTAAATAGTTTTTCACTGTAGTTATATTTAGCATTTCTTTGATCACTAATGAGGCTTCATAGTTAATTGGCTATTCATGTTTTCTCCCCCATGAATTGCCTGTTCACATCTTCTGGTCATTTTTATTGGGTTGTTTGTATACTTCTTATTGGTTTGTAGGGAAAGATTTCCTTAAAACGACTCAAAAAGCACAAACCATCAAATAAAATACTGATGGCCTGATTACATTAAAATGAAAGGGGCATGTATAGAATGGAGCACTGGGTGTTATATGGAAACAATGAATCATGGAACACTACATCAAAAACTAATGATGTAATGTATGGTGATTCACGTAACATAATAAAATAAAAAAAATTAAAAAATTAAAAAAATGAAAGACTTCTGCTTAACAAAAGACGTCAGAAATAATGTTTAAAAGATAAGCCATGCACTGGACGAATATATTTGCTAAATAAGGAACATGTGTTTATATCCAGAATTTAAAAATAATTTCTTGGGGCACCTGGGTGGCTCAGTCGGTTAAACATCTGACTCTTTATCTCAGCTCAGGTCTTGATCTCAGGGTCCTTAGTTCAAGCCCATGTTGGGCTAGATGCCGATGCGTGGAGCCTATTTAAATTTTTTTTTCTGTAAATAATATGACAAACTAAACAATCAAATAATGGGCAAAGAAATGGAACAGGCAAAACACACAAGATTACTGAAAGGCTAACAAATGTATGATTACAAGCATAACTTCATTGCAAATCAGAAACATGCAAATTAAATCAATGAGATACCTTTAAACATTTTATACTGGCAAAAATAGTAAGTCCAATACTAAAGAGTCTTGGCAAGGATTGAAAGAAATTTCTGAAACCCTGCTCATGGAGTTGAATATATACATACCCTATATCACAGTAATTCCACTCCTAGGAATGTAATCTAGAACAGTAATTCTTAAAATGTCACTCTTAGACCAGCAGCATCAGCATCTCATGAGAACTTGTTGGAAATGCAAATTCTCAGGCCCTACTCCAGGTCTACTGAATAAGAAATTCTGAAGGTGGAGGCCAGCAATCTGTTTTTAACAAGACTTCCAGGTGATTCTGATGCATACTAACATTTGAGAATCACTGCAATAGGACAACATTTTTCCAACATTTTTGACTGAAATCTATAGGAAGAAATGCATTTTACATTCTGACCCACAGACATAATCATACACACACACACACACACACACACACACAAAACCAAACCAAAAGCTCTTTCCAGAAACAGTAATCACTGTTTAGAATATTTTCTATTCTATTCCATTTTGTTTCATTAAAAAAATTGCTTGTTGTGACCTACTAATTCCACCCTAAAGTTTCGATAACTGTCCTAGAGAAGCTCTTGTACATATACAGCAGGAGATATGTACAATGCTTGTTGCAGAATTGTCTGTAATAGCAAAAATAAAAAGAAAATATCTTTAGGAGAATGGATAAATTATAGCATATTTCTACAATGGAATACTACATAGTTCCTTATATTATTAAAATAAGTTTCAAAAACATGTATATTGAGTCAAAAAGCAAGTTGTAGAAGGATATATAGAGTATGATATCATCTAAATAGTTTTAAAATATGTAAAACTACGTTGTTTATGAATACATAAATATGTAGTAAAAATATAAAAGCATGCATCAGAATGATAAGTAGCAAATTCAGGATAGTAGTTACCTCTGGAGAGGAGATAGGGAAATGGGATTGGTGAGGGATACATGGAAGTCTTTAGGTGTATCTATAAGGCTCTCTTATTTTCCTAATTAAGCTGCCCTTGAACTAACAGCAAGAATATATTAGAATTGCAATCACTCAAAGGAAACTGCTTTAATATCCCTCATCTACAATGCATTTTTTTTAAATTCAGGGATAGCCAGAAGCTAACATTATTTTGTTTTGTTTTTTAAATTAAACACAACCAAGTATACGCTCCAGGGGCTTGTGTTGCCTCTTTGAGTGACATGACAATAAAGTTTTCCATTCTGGATGTAACATATACCAATAATGTGAAATAATGATGTGCTCAATAAAACAAGGATTGCTTACCACTCTACTTATATATTTGTCAATTTCTCAAGACTTAGACACTTTCACTTTGCTGCTTAGTATCAGCAATTTAAAGTCATGTTGTATGAAAGCCAGGTGGAGCATTCTAAAGAAAAAAACTCATGTAATAACAGTAAACCCTACTCACAGCCAGGTGGCCAATTATTTATTGACTAATTGCAGAGGCACTATGGCTACCTGATAGGGTGGTCCTACAAATATTACTTGATTTATTACTAGCCTAGGAAACTGGAGGCTAGTTTTCCTTCAATTCAGGACCTCTAGTAGATATGGACTAGAGTCTCATCAAGATTTCTTTAAAATTCTAAGGGTAGCTTAGGACCTTAGGAAACCACAAAGAACATCATAGGAAATATGCTACTTATATAGTATGCAGAGAATTAATAGTCAAAGTCACGGAAAAACACAATCACAGTGCCGATGTCACGATTCCTTGGTATAATCAAAGCTAATTTAAAAGTATTAATTTAGGTAGAGGTAAAGAAAAATGAAAACAACCCATGTTTTTTTTTTTTTTCTTGGTTTGGCCTATACCTTGTTTGGCTCCCCTGGATTATATGAAGAAAACATAGGAATTTTTCGGATCTCTTCCTCTGACAAACGATTTCTCTGGATCTCATCTTCTGGGACAAATTCTATTGGCTGCGTCAGCTTCTTAGGCCCAGTCCAACACTGCTCAGGTGAATTATCAATAACTTTTGCCACATGGAGACTGGGACCTTTACCCTGTGCTGCCTGTTTTCCCTTGTCCTGGAGTAATGACGGGTTCTCAGCTGTGCCACTATCTCCCACTGATGTAGCTGAGACCAGTGAGTGGGAAGCAAAGGGTTCACCTCTCATAAGTTGGAACTCTTCAAGACGTTTTTTCATTATCATCTCTTGGTAAAAACTTTCCAGGTTGTTCATGGGATCACCTTTGTTCTTCTTTTGGGGTTCATCTAGATCAAGACAAAGAGATAGGGAAGTTCTACAAAGCCTACCAACACAACCTTTGACAAATAAATAAAAATCAAATCTTGGATCTCGGATACAGAAACTGCTGGGGCAAGTTTGACAAATGACAATAGTATACAGCTATTTTAATGTAGTGCATCTCAAGCAAGGCTGGAACTATGGTGAAGCAAGTGAGGCACCTCAGGTGCAAAATTTAAGGAGGTGCTCACTCTCAGAATCATGCAAGTACATGCACCTAACTGATAAAGACATTAAAAATGTAACTAGTATGGCATTATCCCACTTGACAAAATTAATAATAATCCTTTTAGTATCATCTACTATGGAGTTCATATTCAAATGGCTCTGATTATCTCAGAGATATCTTTTTATACTTGGCTGTTCAATGCAGAATCTAAACCAGGCTTTGGCTGTTATACCTGTTAAGTCTCTTTGATTTTAAAACAGTGCCCCTTCTTTTCCACCCCTCCAACTCATTTTTTTCTCCATCCCATTGAATTATTAGAGGAACCACATCATTTGTTCATAGAACAAATGAAATTTGACTGATTATTCCTCATGTTATTGTTTAACTTGTTCCTCAATCCCCTCTATCTCTTACAAACTGGCAGTTAAAATTAGAGCTATGCTATCTAATATAATAGTCACTGGCCACACAAATCTATTTAAATTAATGTTTTAGATGTCAGTTCCCCACTTAAACTAGTCACATTTCAAATGCTCAACAGCCATATGTGGCTAGTGGATACCATAATGGGCAGAATACATAGAAACCATTTACATCATTGTGGAAAGTTGCATTACGATAGTGCTGATCTAGAGGTTTGATTAGATTCAGGTTCAATATTTTAGGCAACAATCATCCATAGATAGATGTGTACTTCCTATTACATCATGTCATAAGACACATAATGTTTGGTGGTCCCACTTTAATGACGCTAAAGTTGATCAGCAGATTCAGGTGGTGGTAGTCTGATCCCTCCATTATAAGTTTTCCCATTCACCTAATGGGTTTTGCATCCATTGATGACCATTGCCTAGATCTGTTAATTTATTGAGTTGTAAAATGGAGCTCCCCTAATTATATTATTTATTTTGTATTTATTAATCCTATTATTTCTTTTGTGTTTATTATCTGGAATTCTATAATGAACTTACCATCAACTATTTGGTTTCCCCATATACAGTTCATACAGGAAAGGCAGGACAAATGCTTGATTTTTTCCCAGTATTTACCAACTATGACAGTAGTGAGTTGGTACCTTAGAAATTTCCAATGGTGACCAATGATTATTTTTAGTATGATTGTGAGATCATTTTCATGTGTTTGATGTGTTTCAATTAAATGTAATATTTATTCTTTTTAGTGGACAAATTATCCTACTTGGGACCAGTAAGTCCCTTCAGATTGGCTCCTGTGTTGCTTTCCAGTTTTTTGGCACAGCAAGATGTCACAAGTTCATTTTGAATATTTCCTGACTCAAACCTGATTATCTCTCCAAGGACCCCTGGCTCCTTTTAATGGGAAATAGTATTTAGAAACCACAGTGTGTTGCTAGGTGTGTTCATAGCTGTTGAACTGTTGCTTCTAGGCCTTTTCAGTGGACAAAGCTAGGAAATTCTTTTAAAAGAAAAATAAATCATGAGTTCATACTGGTATTTCCACTTTAAATTTAAGATTACAAGTTTTTTACTCAAACTCCTTGATTTTAGACTTATATCTCTTTTCACATATGCTTAAAATATTGGCTCAATGATATTAACAAAATTATTTATTAGCTTTTTCCTATAACATATTTATAGAATTTTAAAATGTCAGTAACAATACTAATGTAACTATTAATGATAAAACTACTGAATACAGTTTTATATGTCTTTGCAGTTATTTTTGTCCTTAAAATATATCCCATTAGGAATATACAAATGTTGTTCTACAGTCACTTTACATAATTGTTTTTTTTTTCTGTATGGTTATGTTACCAACTTTATTTATAGTTAGGCTCATGTGCTTCAGATTACTTATGAATTTTAGGAATTGATTTTTTTCCTTTTTTAGTATTTTTTATATTATGCAGAACATTTATATGAGTCTAAAGTGAAAACTGTGTTATACAGTACCTTCACAGAAGTCTCACCTCCATCTCTGTCCCCTTCATCCCATTCCTTTCCTTTTCCCTAAGTATAATTTTTATTAGGTTTTGACATTATGGTTCCATTATTTCTTTTTTGAAAATATAAGCAGATAGGTGTGCATACACAACACATATGTGTTTATCTATGTAATTCATTATTTACACCCCTTTTCTATATAAAAGGTAACTTACTACAAACACTGTTCTCAACTTACATTTTTGCACTTAACATAACGTGTAGTCTTCCCCCTCCTCTTGATAGCTTCACAGTACTCTACTGTGTGGATGTACTAATTTATTCAACTACTCCCCTACTGAGGCACATTAGTGCTATATCCAGTCTTTTTTGCTTTTATGAATAATACCTTGACAAACAGCCTTGTGCATACAGGATTTTGTATTTTTCCAGTATGTCTTTGAAACAGATTACAAGAGGTGGCAGTGCTGAGACAAAGGGTAAATGTGTATGTAATTTTTCCTAATATTGTTAAATTCCACTCTGTAGTTGTATTATTCTGCATTTCCACCAGCAAGGTATAAGAATATTTATAGAAGGATTTCTTAAGACCCCAAAAGCATTAACCAAGGAAAATATTGACAAATTCAATTACATTACAATTTAAAGCTTCTGTTCATTAAAAACATAATAAAGAGATAGAAAAGTCATAGAATGGGAAAAGGTATTTGCTGCACAAATAACTGGTAAAGAACCATTAAGAAAAGGGGCAGACAATTGAAAATATGCCTCACAAAAGAGGAAATATACACGGCTAATAAATATATGCAAAAATGTTCAACCATATTAGAATTCAGGGAAATGCTAATTAAGGGGTTGGGATATTAAAAGAAAACTGCCATACTGGCAAAAAATTAAAAAACACCAATATCACATGTCAGTGAAATTGTAGAGCAAATGGAACCCTCATACATTGCTGGTAGGAATGTGCACCCACAGTGCAAATCACTATAACATTATCTACTGATGTTGAATATATGCTGGTAATATGACCAATCAGTTCCACTCCTACATATATACCCTAGAGAAGCTTAGGCATATGTGTACCAGGATAAAATAATTATAATGTTTAGATCAGTACTATTTATAGTAGCCTGAAACCGGCAAAAATATAAATGTCCATCTAAGAATCAATTATAAAATTGTAGTCAGTTTATATAATGAAATACTATATTCTAATGAAAGTCAACAAATTTTAGCTATATATGACCAAGTGGATAAATATTCTAATGTATACATTCAAAAATATATATTCAGTGACTATTAGGATTCAGATACTATTCTAGGTTCTTGGGATATATCAGTAAATAAAACAAAGATCCCTATCTTCATAGAGCTCAGTGAATTATACAGTATGTCAGAAGGTTATGAGTGCTATGAAAAGAAATATAGCAGTGTAATGGGTGATTGGAAGTGCTAGGGGGTTGTAGTAGTGGTAGTTGCAATTTTAATGCTGGTCTTGGTAAGTCTTATTGAGAAAGTGACATTTGAGAGATATGACTTAAAGAAAGTGAGGGAATCTATCATGCTGATATTAGAGTGAGGGCCCCAAAGTGGGGACTATGTCTCAAAAAATTTAAAAAGTCTGAAATCATACAAACAATCTGACCACAATGGAATTACATTAGAGATCCACTGCTAGAAGAATTCTGAGAAAACACAAATATTTAGAAATTAAACAACACACTTCTAAATATCTCATAGGTCAAAGAACTCACAAAGGAAATTTAAAAATATTTTCAACTAAATGAAGAGGAAAACACAGCATATCTAAATTTATAGACGTAACTAAAACAATGTTAAGAGAGAAATTTGCAGTTTTAAACACCTATATCAGAAAAGAATAATGTTTTTAAACCTATAATCTGAGCTTCCAAACTAAGGAAACTAGAAAAAGAGCAAACTAAACACAAAGCAAGGAAAAAGAAGAAAATAATAAAGATTAAGGAATAAATCAGTGCAAGAGAAAACAGAAAAATAGCGAAAAATCAATGAAACCAAAAGCCGATTCTTTGAATAGTTTAACAAAATGGCAAACCCTTAGCTAGACCAACCACAAAAATAAGAGAGAAGACAAAAATGATTAAAATCAAGAATTAAAGATGGGGCATCATTACTGACACTATAGAAATGGAAATGATTATAAGGGATTATTATAAATAATTTTAGGCCAACAAATTAGAAAGCTTAGATGAATGGACAAAATTCATAGAAAGACACAAATTACCAAGCAGACTCAAAAATAAAGAGAATAGCTGAATAAACCTATAATAAGTAAGTCAGTTGAGTCAGTAATCAACAGTCTACCCACAAAGAAAAGTCCAATTCCAGATGTCTTCATTGGTAAATTCTACCAACTCTTTAAAGAAATAATATCAATCATGCACACTCTCAGAAAATAGAGGAGGGAATCTTTTCCAACTTATTCTATGATGTCAATACTAAACTGAAACCAAAGCTAAACAAAGACATCACAAACAAAGAAAACACAAATATACCTCATGAACAGACACAAAAATCCTTAACAAAATATTAGCAAGTCTGCCTAATTCATCAATATATAGAAATGATGATACACATGTAAGTGGAATTTATCCCAGAAATGAAAGATTGGTTTATCATCTAAAAAAAATCAATGAATATAATACATCATATTGATAGATTAAAACATTAAACCACATGATCACTATAGGGAGTGTAGCAATAGCATTAAACAAAATCCAACACCCATTCATGATTTAAAAAAAAAACTTCAATTAAGTAGGAATAGAAGGGAACAACTTCAGCCTGCATATGTTAGGCTGAATGACACCCAAAAAATGCCCACATCCTAATTCCTGG